ACGCTCTTAGGCAGCGTCAGGACTGAGCCGAATCGGGGCCAGGCAGTGGCACCTGGACCCACATGGGAAGGTCCTCGGTTCACACCCTGGTCCCCCGAGTGCCAGGCCCACACACATGCGCCGGGATCAGGATCGGGGTCCAGGCTAGCAAGACCAGGAGAGCATGACAGAGCAAAGGCCCTGCTGGGGGTGCCGCTCTGTACGTGTGTGTGTGTGCGTGTGTGTGCGTGCGTGTGCGTGTGTGCGTGTGTGCGCGTGTGCATGTGTGCGTGTGCGTGTGTGCGTGTGCGTGTGTGCGTGTGCACGCGCAAGCACGGCTGCCTGGAAGGGACAAAAGCGAGCGAGGGCAGGGACAGCGAGGGCAGAGTCAGCGGTGACACGCCAGTTTCTCTTCACCAAGTTCTGCCACAGGTGCGTGGGCTCCCCGGAGACACAGGGAGGAGGAGCACCCGCGGGGACGGCCACCCCAGTCCCTTCCCGCCTCTCTCCCTGCCTGCGGGGTCCACTGGAGCCCGCATTCCTCGAGGCGCCCGCTCCTGGACTCTGACAGTCAGCCATGTGGGTGCAGACGCCTAACGCCAGACTGATCCGGCCTGATACTGTCGCCTCACTGGGGGCCAGCAGGTCCTGTAGTGGCTAAGGCTCTGGACGCCCACTTGGCCAACTGCGGTTCAAGGCCCGGGACCAGAGGCTTGAAACAGACCAGGCGCATGTGCATGCCAAAGTCCGAGAAGCGGAGGCGGAGGGATTTGGTGTGGCCAACCTCCCGGGGGTGGCTTCTCGCTGTCTCTGTCTCTGTCTCTCCGGCGCATGTACCTACAGCAGAAAGCTCTCAAACAGAAGCATCACTGGGGCCGGCGGGCCGCGGGCAGGTGAGTCGCTGGATCCCACACGGCCGCGCAGGCTGCGTCCAGGCTTGGTGGCCTGAAATCACACCAGGTGTGCGCGCCCAAAGCCCCGACAGGAGAGCGGAGAAGGGGCTGTGGGGCGATTTCGCACTCCCACCTCCCAGTGAGGACACGCGCTCTGTGGCAAAAGCCCTTAAAAGAGAACAGGTGTCACCCTCCAGACAGCGTGGGCCCTTCCCCAGGCCCGCTCCTCCCTCCACTGCCAGTGTGGCGGGACCTGTCGCTCTGTGCACCGGAGACCCACACCAGGCCAGGACACCGAGATCCAGGCCCCGTCCGCCTCCGCCTCTCCGCCGTCGCCCAGCGCCGCGATGGCGGTTTTAAAGCACGCCTGCAAGATCCCCGTGCCTGTCCAAGGGGGCCTCCTCTCCCTGCCTCCTGAATCGGGCGAGGCAGGGAGAGGAGGCGGCGGACCCGGCCAGACGCAGAGGGCTCCGTGGGCAGGTGTCGACCACCCAGCACGCTCCCGGCCAGCCTCCAGATGAGGCAGGGGGAGGAGATGTCCACCGAGCGGCACCCGCCACCCCTTCACTCTGGAGCAAAGGTGAAGGCCGTTTACATTCTCAGGGATTGACACTTGGCAAACGGGTGTGTCACTCAGGGGCTTTGTTAGGGGCTCCTCAGCCCGAGAAACCCCCTCCCCAGACCCCTGCCAGCTCGCTTCCCACCGGCCTTCCCACCCCACAGCAGGGAGCCTCTCCTCTCTGGGCAACAGGATGGCTTCGGCCAGGCCAGTCCTCACAGGGCTGCTCCTCCCCCTCCCCCCTCCTC